GCGAAATGAGTAGTCTATAACTAATTCTAAGCTGACTAAAATAAAAAATAATGTTTCTTAGTGAATGCCACCGTGCCATACGTACTTTTTAATAAATTGTGGTAAATATGATTAACAAAGACATACTGGTCGATCAGCAAACTACTTGGTCTGCCTTGCAACCACTCGAGCGTGGAGGACCGACAAACGTGTCTCCGACTATATAAAAACTCCTAGAGTTATTATTGTATTTCCAGTTAGGGGCTGGTTCAGAATCTCCAAAATTGACTTTATTAGGTATAAGTGAAATAAAATAAATAAACAGTACTATAAGTGTATTGAAAACTAACAAATAACAAGAATGTATGTTAAAGTTTTACTCTCTCGTAATTTTTATATACTACCTTCCTTTTGTCTTTAAATCATTAAACATCTTACAAACAAAAAAAGGGTTACAATACAAATGAATATGAATTCATATTTATCAGAGAAATGTGCACATACTTATTCGGCCTTCTAAATTTAACATTAACTTATATTAAGCACACGAGATATGGTTTCATTCGCGAATAGAGTGTGTGTACACAAATTTCGTTTTAAATTGTGTCTCTGGCCATGGAGGACTTCAATAATAGAGAATATTACCTTACAATAACTTTGCACAGTACTTGACACCCTTCAGAAGATGCTTCCGACGGCAACTGGTAGCAGGAACACTTTTATTATTACACTTTCCCTTCGTTGCACCTATGACTTCACCAAGTTCACATTCCTAAGATCGTTTTATAATTGTCAAAAACTTAAATAAAAAATGGCTAATGGCGAAGACACAACGCCGTATATATTTTTTCTATGACACCGCCAACTTCTCTCCTTGCTGATTGTCGTCTTGCAGTTTTTGAAAACTGCCACTAGGTGGATAAGTCCCCTTTCACAATAAATTTATTTTAGAGTGAATATATAAGTTTACAATTATCTGAGAGTGATTTCCTGCATTTATGTGTTTTTTATTTGATATTACATATTATATTATTTTATTTATTAACATGTGTGACCTAAAGGCATTCAACGCCCTCTCATGACGAGAAGGCTTTCTAAGTGTAACAGATTGGAACTTATGTCATAAAAAATGTGACATTGGGAACGCACGAAAATGGCGCTAGAGGTTCAAAATTTTAATTTCTTATATATTTAAATTCAAGGTGTTGGGAACTTTTCCCAACAACATCCTTATAATATCTCGAAACTTATATCGATAGGTAAATATCTTAAGATCTATAAAATTTATAAACATTTTCTATAATCTGTAGTAATTTATATTGTGTTCCGTTGCTAATAATCTTTTGGTGAATGTTACTTTTTTTTCAATAAAACAAAATTTTTAATAAACTTTCTTTAGACAGTTGAATACACACTACTTTCCCTAGTTTTTTCATTAATACTCGAATCTGTAGGCCAAATCAATCAAATAAAGGATTTACAGTTTTTAGATTGAAAAAAAAAATCCGCAAACAATATTTTTACAATATTAAAATTATGAACAATTATTTAGTAGCAGTTATTATTGAAGTTAAAGGACTTTTACAAAATAATCCAGTTACTGAACCTAAAAATGGGGTATTACTTCCGAATTCTTTAAAACTGCATTAATTTTTCTAATAGTTTACAATAATCTTTGATAAAATGAAAGGCAGATATCGAGTACAAATTTATTAATACAAATGTTGCCCAAGTAGTTTCGCTCCCTAGAGCATCTTCAGGGGCATTTCGTCAATTTTGGCCTATCCAACAATCGCAGAATGTCATAAACATATAATTAAACATAAAATTGTATTATTTAAATGGGAATAAGCCTTTAAAGGTTAAAGTACGTTTATTGACGTTTTTTTGTGGCTTATTCCCATTTTAATAGTAATTACTTTTAAATGCCACAAGAAAATAGTTTCAGAACAATATAAAACTGTACAAAACATTACACTTAACAAGGAAAAACCGGTTAAAATTATTTAAAAATAGTCCAATCTAAATTCTGGTCATCAACACGAGAGAGAATGGCTCCCAGTATTAACGGAAATATACTGGGGTTTTTGGCCCACTTTTCATCTACTTCCTACTGGCTGTGATATGAGGATTTGCCTATAAAAGGTTGTTCTATTGCGATCTTGCGAGATGATCTACTCATTAGAGTCTTCTATTTTTATTAGTGTTATCACGTTTTTGACACCGCAATAATTCATGTGCCGATGACACCATAATAATGAGCAGAGGGTCTAGAAGATCTTCAAACCCTGTTGAATACTGTAAATAACGAATGCACTGAAAAGGATTTACAATCATACGCAAAAAAAAAAATTGGATGTTGGTCGGAAAAATTAATATCGAAGACATCAGTACTAAGATTAGATAACAAAATCCTGAAAAGGGTGGAACACTTTAGATATCTGGGTAGCTGGATTGACTGCAGGGTTGAAAGTGACGAGGAAATTTCGACCAGAATAGAACTCGCACGGAAAAACTTTATTAACTGGCGTTCTGTATTATGCAGTAGAAGTCTGTCGTTGACCACACGTCTAAGAGTATTGAAGTGCTACGTCTGGTCCACTTTGTTCTATGGATGTGAAACCTGGACAACAAAAATAAAAAATCTTAACAAATTAGAAGCGTTTGAGTTATGGTGTTACCGTCGCATGCTCAGAATCCCGTGGACAGCACACATATCTAACGAACGTGTGCTAGAGACCGTGCACAAAGAGCGAGCATTGATCAACATCATCAAAATGAGAAAGGTCCAATACTTCGGTCATATAATGAGAGGACCTAAATATCGCTTACTCCGGTTAATCATTCAGGGCAAAATCGAAGGAAAACGTTGGGTCGGAAGAAAACAACTGTCCTGGCTGCGTAGCATTAGACAATGGACAGGTCGAACGATCGAGGAACTGTTTCATCTAGCTGCCTACCGAGAATCATTTCATCAGCTTGTCAATATGACGATAGCCAATGCTTGAGCACAAGCATGGCACACAAAGAAGAAGATCACGTTTTTAGTACGAGTATCTGTTTATATCTGTCGTATATCTCATACACCTCCTCCTTCAAATACTGTTTTCATGAAGCCACCAAATATTCCTCTCAGTTCTAGTCTCCTCAAGAATTTCTCTTCAATCGTCCATATCTATCTCCTTTTTTCTCCAAATACGTGTTCCCATATTATGTCTTATATTTTTATCGATGTTACCAAAGAATTCTTGTTTCTCTTCTTCTCTGGCCATTGAATCTACTAAGGGGCGTTTTTCTAACTGGGTAATTTTGTTCCATTCGTATTCCATTGTCTATCCTGGCATTCTGTCTTAATATATTTTACTACTTCTGGATCCTGATATTTTCTATAATGTTCGAAGTCGTATCATCTTCTTCACACTCCATTGTCATTCCCTGCTCAATAGATCCGCCTTATTACGTTTCTTTCGAAACATCGTAACATGTTTTTATTACTTTTTCTTAGAGTCACTCTGATTTATATATAAAGACTGGGCGTATTATTGTTTTGTAGACTTTTCCCTTTGTATTTCTCGATATAATTAAGGATTAGGGAAGCAGAATGAAACCAAATTAGCATCTGTTGGACGTGCAAATTCTGCGGGTTTTCTCTGCGTAGTAGTACGTACAAAGAGCATCACAAATAAAATATATCAAATTAATTATGTGTTCTGTAATATAAAAGTTATAAAAAGATATGTAATTAAATTAATCTTACTGTATAAGACCATTTTCAAGCCAGCTAATTAAGCACTGAAACAAAATTTATGTTACTGTTATTTATATAAATATAGGACATTAAGTAGGAGGATGTAATATAATCAAAAATAAAATTTAATATTTTATAAAGATATTCATATACCGAAAAGCGTGCTTTATCCATTAATTAAAAATTTATTTTAATACATATATAAGTTTCCGTATGGCGGATATATAGTAGTCTAAATCATCCTTTTTTTTTTTCTTAATGTACCGCGAATTTTAAAGGTTTCAATTATTACTTCTTTCGTACCTTGTGGTAACAGAGATAAATATGGGAGGATCTTTTTGCTTTAAATGTGTTAACGCAAGGAGGCAGACATGAATATAGATGAGTATGTATGTTTTATTGACTATCGAAAAGCAGTTGACTATGTTAACCATCAAAACATGATCGAAATTCTGAGAACAACTGGAGTTGACGAATTATTTCAGAACTGTACTGGCACTAAACAGCAACAATTGAAATAGAGCACACAACATCCGAAGATATACGAGGAGTGAGACAGGGTTGCGTCTTACCACCGGTACTGTTTAATTTGTATTCGGAGTCTATATTCAAAGAAGCATTAGACCAGGTCCAAGGCGGAATTAAGATCAACGGAATGAGCATAAACAACATCAGATATGCTGATCATACTGTCTTAATAGCAAGCAACGCATAAGAACTACAAAATATAATATATAATATATAATATACAGTGAAACTTGGATAATTAGAATCTCAGGGGACCGTTAAAAAAATTCGAATTATCCAAAAATTTGAATTAAAAATATATCTACAAAAAAACAGTGATACCTACAAAAGCATCTGCAAACGATAAAAATCAACTTTTGCAGATGTTTTCGTTCTTATTTATGCCCGAATTTTGTCAACCGAAAAAAATGGGCTAACAAAATTCGGCCAAGAATACTAATTAACACATTTGCAAGCTATAAAAATGGTCCATTATTGTCCTTATGGCAGGTGTTCTCATTGGTATTTTCGGCCAAATCTTGGCCAATAAAAGTCGCCCAAGGAGAACGCGTCATTAAAACAATAAAAAACATTTTGTCTCAATAAATTTATTGAAAATATGAACATTTGTTACAATTAACAAAAAAAGACAGACTTTAACTTTTTCCAAAGAGATCCGAAATTTTTAGCTACTTTTTAAAATTTAGCTTCTAGGCAATGACTTCTAAGGTATTTACGGTGAGCTAAAAATAGAGTGACGACTTACGTCATTTTTACTTTCAAAGTAGAGTTAAAGTTGTGTAATATGGTTCGTTGCTTTGGCTGCACTGCAACATATTCAACCACGTTGACAAAATTTTCAAAGAGTGGACATCTTCCCAGTCGTCAACTGAATGCAGCTCTTCTGTTAAAGTGTCGTTAGCGTTTTCTACTTTTAGCTTTTTTGAAACCGTGTTTGATCATTTCGGGTATTACTTTCTCCCAAGTTTTCTTATAAATTTGAGAGGCTTGAAGAATGTCTAACTTTATTTTAAGCGAGTTGCAGTCTCCCGTCAATATGTTTTTAACCAAAAAATATCCATTAAAATGTTTAAGAGTTTTTATGGTGCTCTGGTCTATAGGCTGAACAATTGAAGTCATGTTGGCCGAAAAAAAAATAACTTTACATTTTCCATTACTGGGATAGTGTTGTAAGCCATGCAGTTGTTAATAAACAAACTAAGTTTTCTTTTTTCTTTAATGAATTTTTTGTCTAATTTCATCAGCCATTTCTCAAAAAGATCCCTGCCATCCAAGCTGTTGCGCTGCTTACATATTCCACTGGCTTTAACTTGACATTCTTAAAACAATGCGGATGAGCTGACTTGACAATCATCATTAGAGGCAGTCTTTCCTATCCGTCCATGTTTGTACCCATTAGGGGAGTGACTCTTTCTTTGTTTAGTTTTCCTCCGTGACATTTTTTATTTTTAAATGCCAGTGTTTTGGCAAGAGTACATTTAAAAAAGACCTTTCTCGTCAATATTGAATATATCTCTTTCATCTATATCCTGAATCATCTTCTCCGATTTTTTTTCTATTCGTTGGCTTCTTGCTGATTAATAGCCCCACTTTCTCCACAAATGGGTTTGAATGAAATTTTATTGCATTTTTTGAAGATGTGTAGCCACCCTGTACTTACCTTAAAAATTTTTTTCCTTATTTCAACAACAAATTGTTCAGATTTGCTTCTTATAAGGGGACCACTTACGGGAATCTCCTTATCTCTGGCTTGTTCGAACCATTTTAAAACACATTTGGATTTTCTGGCTCCCTTAACCTTTTTCGTTCATTACCGCACCCACTTTCACTCTTGAGATTTTTTCCCTTATTCTTCTAGTAGTTATATCCACCTACTCGAAGAAGTAGGTGTGAATTATCATGTGTTAGGCGGAATTCCAAATTCCTTGACAGTCTCAGATTTTTTCTTCGTCCCATTTGCTACTTCTTTAATTGCCGCTATTTTTCCGATAACGTCAAAGTTTTGTATGCTCGAAGCTTACTGAAGGGGCGTGCCAGGTGGGGGAGAATTTAGGTGCCAGTATGGGTACAATGGTCTTGAATGTCTTGAAACAAGTGGCGCGTGATGATAGGAAAGAATACTACCTCTTTTCGCAAAAATTTCCAATACGAAATTGGCATTTTAGCTTGTAGAGAAGTTTGAATTATCCAAAATATAATTCGAATTATTCACGACTTTTTACTATTACTTATATAGAAAATGCTAGGGACCTGAATAAAAATTCGAATTAAAGAAGATTTTGAATTGGAGAAGTTCGAATTAAGCAAGTTCCACTGTATAATATAAAAGATATTCATATACCGAAAAGCGTGCTTTATCCATTAATTAAAAATTTATTTTAATATATACATATATGTCTAAATGTTCCTTTTTTTCTTCATGTACGAGAATTTTAAAAGTTTTAATTAATACTTCTTTTGTACCTTGTGATAATAAATATAAATTAGTTTAATTACACTTCTTCGTTTATTATGCGGGATATTAAATCTAGAAAAGCCGTATATATTTCTGTGTTCTTTATTCTAGCTTTCTCAATTATTTGTTTCAACGTAAATATATGGTCTTTCGTACTGTGTCCCTTAGTAAACCCACTTTGTACTTCATCCAAATGTGGTTCAACGATATGTCTTAATTTCTTTTCTAGAATGCTTCATATATTTTGGAGACGATACTAAGTGGATTAATTCCTCTATAATTTTCACAAGAACTTGGGTCTCCTTTCTTAAAGATTGGTAGTATTATGCCAATTCTCCAATCTTCGGAGACTGTACATCGGTTCCAAGCCATGTTCATAATTTTGGTTAAAAATTCAACTCCTTTCGGTCCTATTGACTTTAACATTTCAGCAGTGATTTTGTCATGACCAGCCGATTTACCTTTTTTTGTGTTGTTAATTGCTTCTTTAACTTCTTCCATTTGAATATAATTTTCTTGTCCATGTTCTCCTTCTACTTCTATCATTACAATTCTATCGGCTGTCTTGATGTCTCGAGTATTGTCTCGATCTTTCCATAATCTCATTTGGTCTGGTAATCAGTGTGCCGTCTTTACCTTTCACCTGTTTCATCGTTGTTTCTTTACCTTTTCTTAGCGTCTTTACTGCCTTGCAAAACAATTTTTGGTTACCCCGGCTATCTGCCTCCATCTTCATTCCAAACTCATCCCAGGCTTCCTTCTTTTTCTTCAGCACCATTTGCTTACACCACCTTTCTTTGTCGTTTATATTTTTCGTAACTATTTTCTGTTCTTTTGTTTAAATATATTTTCCATTTCTGTTTTTTATATTTTATTTGGGCTTTTAATTCATCGTCCCACCATCGTGTTTAATTCTTATTTCTGTTTACATGGTTTATTCCACACGTTTCTTTTGCTGTCGTCACGATGGTTTCTTTAAATTGTTTCCAAATTTCTTGTAAGTTGTCAGTACTATGTGCATTAGTTAATTTGGCTAGTTTTTCTTCTATTTGACTTTTGAACATGGCAGCAATTTTTTGGTCATTTAGTTTATAGTTTTGGATATTCTCGTTCACTTTATTATTTTTCGTTCTTTGTTTAGTGGTTTTAGGGGTTTTTTGGGGTAATCTTATCTTTGCCACTACCAGATAGTGGTCACTATAGATTTCCGGGCCTCTTTTAACTCTAACATCAGTGACCTCTTTCCTAAATTCTCTATTAATGAGAACATAATCTAGAATTGATTTTTCATTTCTGCTCCTGACTTCTCTCGTGAACTTGTGTATATCTTTGTGTTCAAAAAATGTGTTGGTGATAATCAAATTATTCTCCATGCAAAAGTCTATCATCCTTCTTCCATTATCGTTTCTTGTATCTTCCTCCTGCATACCCAAAATATCTATGTTATCATCGTCTCTTTTACCAACTCTACTATTCATATCGCCTAGAATGACTATTCTACCTTTCACATTTTCTATGGCATCATTGAGCTCTTCCCAATATTCTTCTTTAACTTTCGATGGTTCGTCATCATTGGGGCCATAGGTGACTAATGTAGTTGTTATTTCTGATTTATCTAGTGTGATATCTATCTTTAAATTTCTTTGTGATATACATTTCCAATTTTTAACACATGACATATAGCTTGCTCTCATTAGGCATCCTACACCTTCTGCCGCTCTACTATCGTTACTGACTCCGCTGTACAAAAATACATGTTCTTTTTTCAATTCATCCATTCCTTGACCTTTCTTTTTAGTTTCCGTGATCGCCAAAAAATCTAATTGTGCTTTGTCAAATTCATCTATTAATTCTCTCTCTTTTTCCAAAATACAAAAGTATAATAGTTTTGACATCTGGACGACAAGATAGCTTTATCGATATCTAAAGCAGTTATCTAAATTCCATGGCCATAATCTTTTAAAGAGATTCTTTTTGAATAATATAATAACCTTACTAATGTTTACACCAATATTGTTTACTCTACCTGAAGTCTTCTATTTCTTTTCTTTTTTCGATATTTTTTGGGGACTGGTGATTTTTCTTAGTCTGTTGTGAATCCATTTTGAAGTTGTTTTGTTAATTTTAATCCTACCTAGATTCACGTCATTTTTTAAATTTTAATAATTTTGTTTATTTTTGTCTAAAAAGTAGGAACGAATCAGAATCTGACTCTACACAGCTCCTAGTATAAGTATTTGGGTAATAAAAATCCACTAGGAAACTAAGTTTCTGTAGCTGGCTGTATACCATATATCACAAAAAATGTATTTCAAATCCTTTATAAAAGGTATATAATAAAATGCCCAAACGGGCTATCAAAAATTACATTACAAAAGGTTTTTGGATTGTTAAATCCATCATCAGTGTAAACCTGAAAGTAAATAACCACTTTAATTAAAAAAACGTTGAATTTAAAATGTTGACTAAGGCTAAAGCAAATGTGGTTAATACTTACGAGGTATACATGCTATGAGCCACCAAAATATATGGGTCAAAACCTTATTATAAATCATTATATATGGATCAAAATGACATTGTTGACATGTTATAACGGAAGTTGTGTCAGAGCAAGCCAGTGTAACTTACGGTAGTTGTCTAAAAATGACAGATCCAGCATTATTTAAAATTGAAAAAAAATTAAAATTTATAATAATGTAAACAGTATCAACCATCAATGTTGTAGTCTCTAATGTGAATTTAATCATATAACTATATTGGAAACATTGAAAAAATTAGTTTTTTAAAAATTCATGTGGGGTAAACTGGAGTTTATGAAATGTCAACATCTTAAAGAACACAACCACACTCTCAATATCCCAGAAGATTTCTCTCTTATTCATAATATCCCACAAAAAAACTTTCTCAAACTAGACCTATATAAGGACCTAGAAATCATTAAAGAAAAACAGAAAAGTCCAAATTGTTGTAAATCGCCATGTCTCATTCAATCGAGATTTATTTAATCGAGATAGTATTTAAATTTTCGTCCTTCTCTTACCACCTACTAATCGTCCTTAGCACTCTCAAACTTTGTTCAATATATCCAACTCCCTTCTCTCTTAACTTCTGTCTAGGCATCCAAACGTCAAATCTCACCAATACCCAATTATTCTCCATGCTCCTTTTCAACAAATAAATTCAGAGCAAACTATTCCATTCCTCTCCAAAATAATTTTTCACCTACTCAACCACACATCTTCACCTTTTCTTACTGCGTTTTTCTTTTTTATTACAACTCCTTTTACCCATCTAC